TAAATTTAGATGAACATCTCATTCTGAAAAACAATTTCAAGTTATTTTTTAATTTTGTTTATGGTAAAGACATATAATCTCATGATTTCTCTTTGTCTGGGAGGAACCCGGTTCTGGGCTGTGTGTAGTCTCTTGGATTAATAATTGGCTCAAACTGACATTTTGTATTATCTCACAGTACTACCCAATAAAAATTATCCCCTTTAGTAATACTAAAAACTTCTAATTTTCATTCAGTTTCCATGAATCTGGAAGTGATTTTTTTTTTATTGGTGGCAAAGTTTAGAAGCATTTTAGTTAGGTTCTTTTATGGCATTTTCTCCATTCAAATCTTAAATTCTTAATTTTGCACAAAATCATATAATTTTGTAATTCTTTACCATCACTGGAAAATGGACATTCCACTTTTCTTTGAATATTTTCTGTAATGAGGAATATTTTACACTTCAAAGCAGTCTGTTTTGTTTTGAAAAACCTCTAGCTGAAAATTGTCTCCATATAAATTCTAACCGTTGGCTATAAAGGTGGTTATTAGCTATAAATATGACACGTGGGTCATTCATTCATTCAACCATCATTTAGTGAATGCTTATTGGTAAGAAAAAATTTGATGTCTTCAGAAAGCTTAAATCAGACTATTGGCTAAAAATCTAAGAGTATTTGTATACATGTGGATTATGGGAGATGATGTAAGTAAGGTAATGTTATTTCAAAACCTTGGGAGCTTCCTAAGTGAAATCTGAAATTGACCCTGATACACAGGGAGTGAAGAAAGACAGAACCCTCCAGATTAGTAGGTAGCAAATTTGGTAAGCAAGGAGACTTACATATGAGGTTTGTCTTGGGTGGCCTCAGGACGAGTAGATGTCTGCCCCTGCCTGTCTGAATCTTAAGGTCATATAGAGGCCAACTGGGTTCAGTCACATATTCAGCCCAGATGGTCTCAACAACACAATGCTCTGTCTCTCTTTTTTAATGTTTATTTTATTTTTGAGGGGGGGAGGGACAGAGACAGAGGGAGACACAGAATCTGAAGCAGGCCCCAGGCTTTGAGCTATCAGCAGAGAGCCTGATGGTAGGCTTGAACTCACGAATGGTGAGATCATGACGTGAGCCTAAGTCAGACACTTAACCAACTGAGCCACCCAGGTTCAGCCACCCAACACAATGCTCTCTTAAGGCTGCATCCTTGAAGTGACTGCTAGTGTGGGAATGGTGGGTAGAATGTACATTTCAAAGATAGGGAAGGGGGTGAGAAGCCTCCAATTGCTGGGGTCCAGCTTGAGGTCCAACCAGTGGTCGTATTGCTTGATGACTTCCTCCAACAGGTGGAAATCAGAAGCTATAAAGAAACAGTGTATTTGACTATATGAAATTTGAAGTATATTCAAAAACAAAATATACCATGCCATATACTATTAAAAAAGTCAGAAAACAAGTGGACTGAGGAAGTGTTGGAAAATTTGTACAGCCCTAGCATATATTTTATTGATGAGAAGTAAATAACCTAAAAGAAGAATGGATACAGATACAAAACACAATTTACACAAGAGAAAACCCAATCTGCCATAAACTTTTGATCTTACTGGAAATCAGAGAAATGCAAATTGGAGCAACAATGAGTTAATTTTTGGCCTATCATATTTGTAAATTTGAAAGACTCCATATTGTCTAAAACTAGTGAGAATAAAGGGAAAATCCACACCAATTGTGTGACATGCTATACCTTTATTTGAAAGTAATCCAAAAGTCTGTTAAAAATAAATATGAAGATATCCTTTGATCCTGTAATCTAATTTTTAAAAATCTATATGTAATATAGATCTATATAATATAGATATAGTTATTTTTTTTTCAATGTTTTTATTTATTTGTGGGACAGAGAGAGACAGAGCATAAACGGGGGAGGGGCAGAGAGAGAGGGAGACACAGAATCGGAAACAGGCTCCAGGCTCTGAGCCATCAGCCCAGAGCCTGACGCGGGGCTCGAACCCACGGACCGCGAGATCGTGACCTGGATGAAGTCGGATGCCTAACCGACTGCGCCACCCAGGCGCCCCTAGATATAGTTATTTATCACAGCAGTTGTCCTAAATAGACAAGATAATATCTATCCATAAAGAAATGCTTGTGCCAGATGCATGGGTTTGGGTCCAAGCTCAGGGCCTTGGAAGATTATAAAAATATGCACTTTTATTTATTTTTTGAGTATATCTCCTGAGGACTCTCAGTGATATTGCAAAGAGATATGGGATCTTCTGGGTCCAGCTGTGTCAGGCAAGGACAAAAAGAAGAAGGTGGTGAGAAGATCCTTAAGAACCTTGTGAATAAGAAACATACTTATTGAGAGAGAAGCTTAAAGAAAACAAGTGGATTTAGTGGGAATCAGAGTGAGAATACTTGAGGAACAGGGTGATGGTCTGTTTCTTTAACTTAGTATTACCCTATAGACATTTCCTATTTCACTTTATAATCTTTATATTTTAGAGGTGTTTTTTCTAAACATACTCTAACATGGCTAAATATTAAAATAGTTTTAAAATTTTGGAGGCAGCACCTCAAATTTCATGTTTCTTGTGCTCATTGCTCTCTTGGCAGATTTTCTCCTTAGGGAAAATGCAGTGGGATGCATGGGTCAAAACTCATGGTTGTTTACCTTTTACCCGTGTGAGTTATAGCCAAGAATGAGAATGACCTTGACCGGGTAAAAGCCTGTGTCCCAGTGTATATCATTGCATTCAGCCATGTGTGGGAAGTCTCATAAGACCCCTCCCTACTACGCATGAAAGAAATGTCTAACATTATGAAATATTTTCAACAGATTGAAAATCCGATAAAATAATTTAATAGACTTCATTTACATGCTATATGGATCTAATAACTGCTGAAATGTTGTGATCCTTTATATCAAGCCATAGGTAGGCACTTCTATCCATCTGACTGTCTTAAATGCACTGGAGACTAAGCCTCTAAGAGGTGTCTTGTATGGGAGAACTTGAGGGCATGTGCACACTGTAAACAGCTAAGGGTAGGATGGTTTTTGCAGTGAATAATTAGAGTTGATGTTGTGAATTTTTTTTTATTTTTCAATTTTTGCCTTTTATAGATCTTGATGACTAAAGGGGGGATGATAAGATAAAAAATCCAGTTCACACACCACTTTCGGGGAACATACCTCATGTGTGAACGATGGCCACCTGTAGAGCGATTACTTACTCGTCTTCCTTTGACTCTTTTCTTCCTGGGTCTTCAAATGAAACAAAACAAAACAAATATATCTTCTTCCTATTGTTTTTACTTTACAGTATTTCCCTTAGAAACACTGGGGAGACTTACCCAGGATTTCCCACTTCTATCTTATAATCTTAAATAAAGAAAAGCTGGATTCTCCTCCCATCTCCACATCTTGGTTTCTGGCTCTTGGTGTAGATAGAAAAGGGGGAAGAAGAGAAAACGGGCAGAGGCATGTGCAGGCTGAAAACCAGCGGGTACATTGCAGTCGTTTTTATCCTATTTCTTTTCCTTTTCCTTGAATAACTACTGGCCCTTTTCCCACACTGTCTCATTTCCTGGACAGTGGAATCTAAACTGCACTCAACTGCAATGCATTTCCTAACAAACTCATGAGTTCAAGCTGCCTTTACTGTCTTCACTCGCCTATGATAATAGGGCATTAAAACACTCCACGTACAGGAATAGTCATTAAAATCAATTATCAGGGGAGGTAGGTCTTTTTGTAACTTTTACACCTTCCCCACTTAAGAGAGCATTAGTCCACAGTGATTTGAAGGGCTAGCAATCAAAAATCTTGTTGTAATACTGTGTCGCTTGGTCATGTATAGTTAATCATTGTAATCCAGCTAAACATGAGTGTCAGATAATAACCACAGAATGCAGTTTCGCCTTACTTGGGTTTTGGCATTTTAAAATAGAGGGTATTGTATATTTTTTTCTATTTGTGAAATAATGCTCAGTATTGAGTTCCTGTGGGGTTGTTTGAAAAATAAAGACTATTATAAAGTAGAAAATAAACAGTGTTAAGCCCCATACTCAAAAAATACCGATACAGTGATAAACATTGTGGTGTTATTGTGAACATGTTATTTTATTCACATGGCTAGCACATCTTATTCCAGTGTTTCATGTACTTTTTTGGTATATAACTGTGGTCACACTGTTGGTAATTATTTTTCTCCTGGGATATTTAACATGGGGCATGTAATGGAAAAAGCATGGCCTTCAGAGTCAGATGGACTTGATTTCAAATTCTAGCAGTTATTTTTCAGAAGGGAGGAGGCAACTTTAATCTTCCCAAATTTGCATTTCCTAACCTGTTAACTGAGAAGAAGAACAATGATCCATCACAGTTGTTTTGAAATTTTAATGAGGTAATATTTGCCAAGCACAAGGCCTATCATGTTTACTCTCAAAAAACAGTAGTCTCCATTGCTAACTCTGTAAACACAATATATATGAGTTCATATATTTCACTGAAAAAATATACCGTAATAGAGCTAAACTAAGTGTATGTTAGCTTGGCATTAACTTAGTTTAGCTAGCCTCCTTCTTTTGGGAGACTGCTTCTGGCACTAAGTTTTCAAATTAATGTGCAAGTTCTCGAGAAAGCTACCCTCATGAAGCACCTAGCTTAAGCAACCACCCAAAGATGAAGGGAGTAAGTAAGAACACTGCAAGAGACGAAGAAAAGCTTTTGTTTGAATCAAGTAATGATGTTTTCTGGTTCCCACCCTTTGTTCTTTGCTAATAGTCCAGCAAGAAAAGTGGCAGGCAGAACTGTACCTATAAATGTGCCTATTCTAGGTGGAAATAGCTGACCCAAATCAACCAGACTTTCCATCCATCATGCTGTTAGGTACAGTCCTTGATTTGTGGTGCACATACAAGTTGCTGGTGCAATCCTGGCAAAAGGGCTTTCTTTCTCCCCCAGGGCATGATGGTGTTGTTATAGAGTTGGTATTGTATGAGTGACCCTGTAAAAATATTTGTTATGCAGATGTCCATAAAAAGCACAGACAAGGTAGTGAATGCAGGGATCGGACTCAGTAAGCCACAAGTAATTGTCAACATGGGCATGAGGGTCTTAACTGATGGTTGCTTTTCCTTACAGTTTACTTTTGGGGTTGTGCCTGATTTAGCAAGGTCCCCATCTAACAGTCACAGGAGCCTGTTGTAGTATTTGGGGACGGGCTGCAGCTGACTAGACCACACTGTGCCTCCACTGCACACAAGTAGGTAGCTGAGTCTCCGAGCTGGGTGGCTGTGATGTGCAGGGTGCTGAGAAGTGCTTTCTTATCTAATGTCCCTTTTAACCTTCCTGACTTCTGAATCCCATTTGAAATTTGTCTAAACAGAAAGGTAGGAGTGTTCTCTTGCTGCTGAAACCAAAGTAGGCTTTGAAAGTTGGTCACTTGGTAACTGCAGTTGAGAGTTGCACTGTCTTCCTCCTGGACAACCAGAGATGGGGGGCTCTGTATCACCTTGTCTTCACTGCTCACCCCTGTTCAGAAAAAAAAAAAGAATTAAATAAATCAGTCAGAGAAAGAGTGATGTCAGATCAAGTCTTCTCAGAGATCATAATTAGTCTCCACTGGAACAGCAGATAAGTCAAGATGAATGCCACTTTTCTGAGAATCAGTCCTCAGGTTTTCCAGGTTGTCCCTGCCGTTTGTGATAATGCTACTCACAGCTCAGCTGCAGCCAAAAGATTGCTAGTGAAGCTAGTGGCCACTTCTCCATCCTTCCACTCTTGAGTTGGTTTTCCTGAGCAAAATGTGATTCACTGCCCTGAGCTTTTCTTGTTCTTTTTTGAAACAACACCCTTTCCCCCAGGACCCGCCCCCCCCCCCCCCCCCCCCCCCCCAACACACACATAATCTGAAAGGGAAATAGCAATTTGGCTCTTCAGCCAACCAGAAAAATAAATGTCATTTGGCCCTAATTCAAATTCAAATCCTTCCCACTCAGGCACTCAGGAGTCATTCAAAAGAGAGCACTGCCATCTTGTGAGCTGGTGCAGAATAGCTGAAAACTTGTATCCACTTGTTTTACCGATGATAATAGATTCTTCCAAAATTGTCTCATGGCTGAAGGATAGCCTATCCAAAGCTACCCACAGTTCTAATAGTCCAGGGCTCTTTGGCTCAGTGAGGGCAGAGAGGGATGGGAAGTAGGAAAAGGCTGAACTAACATTCAAGTAGGAACCTACCCTGTGAGGTAAAGGACTACAGCACTCTGGAGACTTGGAGGAAAAGGTGGGGAAAGAGGCAAAGGTCCTTCCAAAAGCTCTTTGAAGGTTCACTGTTGATCTCATTATCCTGGAACACATACTTAGAAAGCAGTATTTCTAATAAACAGCAGGGTCTCTGATAATTCACAGGGTATATTTGGATGAAAGGCAGTTGTTGAAGTGTTCTTTCCTGTTTCATCACAATTTGGTCAAAACAAATACCAAGACATCACACTATAACCTCATTTCTAAATCTACTGAGACCCTTCCCTCCTGAAAATACTGTTTTCTACCCAGCAATTCATTGTTTATCCTATTCACCTGTTCTATAGACTTCTATTTTCATGTTTTGTTTTTTGTTTTATTTTATTTTATTTTATTTTATTTTATTTTATTTTATTTTATT